GATGATCGCATTTGTGGAAGGAGCCAGTATGGGAAGAATCTGGGGAGACGGAGCGGGAGGGAGGTAGTGGCTGAAATAATCTCGTGCCCAACGACTCGGATTGATGGCCTTGTTTTCCAAGACACAAGACTGCCTCATTTTGAAGACATCTATCTTTTTTTTTGTTTTCTGCCGATACAATGAAGGTGAAAATAAGATTGCTAGCGGAAAAGAAAAAGAGCGCACGGAGGCGTATCAGCCTAACGAAAGCGGTTATCCAAAGGAGAGTACCGTGGAGTGGTCCTCAGTTCAGCCCAAAAAAGTGTTAACTCACAAAATGAAAGAGATCTCCTTCATATGGCGATATCCCATCTTTATCCATTGCTATTCCGTCCTGAAGACGACGATATGACACTAGTGGTGACGTCAATTCTGCTCGTTTTAGAAGAAACGGTTGGGCATAGACGAAGCAGAGGACACGTAGAACCACACCTATTGCGGCCGATCTGGAAATATCAATTTGGCACTTTTTCTGGTTTCGGAAACTGCTGTATGTAGTCTTGTCAACCTTGGGCCCATTCCGCAGTTACCTAGACCAGTTCTTTTGTCGGAAAAGAGTAGCATTAACGCTAGAGGCTTCTTGCCTCACATTTCCGATTGCATGTATTGAACAGTGGGTAAAAAAATAGATAGAGACAGTAAACCTACAAATGAAGGAAAAGGTAGATGCATTCTCTGGAAATGCCCTTATAAGGCCCTGTCCCTGTCGTCTGTTGAAGGCACCACACAATAAAGGCGGTCCTTTGAAGTTGTGACAACGATGTTCCCACACACGTACGAGCGAAACCCTGTTCGTCTCAGGGTTTAGCTGCTGGTAATGGGCCTAACTACTGGGGCTATTGACAGCCCTCGTCGCTCACTCTGTAGTTTTGAACATGGTAGGGCTGATGAGATAGCAGACCGGGTACAGGGAAGGAGTCTCACAGAATTTTACCAGAACGCGCAATGTGTCCTTATGTAAGACTCCGCCTCCTCCAGTGTGACTCCGCCCACAATGTCAAACCTTTGTATGGCTGCGTTGGACTTCCGTGACCCTCGTGCTAAGTGTTTCTATTTTCCTACTCACCACATTATCGTCCAGAGGTCAAAATCAGTTAGCCTTATTCGGGTTAATCTTGAGCTTTTCGGCATTCTTCTCAGGCGCAGTTTGGCGATTGGGGGGGGGGCGGGGACATTTTGCTTTCCATCGATGTATCGACCTATCTAGATAGCCTTTTCTCGAGTTGACAGGTTTTAGGATGGTGGCTAGACAGGTTGACTTGCTCCAGCTTTACAAGAGTTCACAGGTTTCACCAGAGTGAGACTTGTAAACCGGAACTAGTGAGCAATGAAAGTGCAAAAAATGCCCCCCCACCCCGTCGGCAAAGTGCGCCTTCTTCTCAACTGTTTGAGTCAATTAGCACTCAGACAGTCATAGCGGAATCCCACGGTGAACGATGTGTGATCGCGGAATATGTCTTTAAGCTCTCCATCAGTTCCAAACGGGATCACTCCGATCAGGCTGCCACACCTCGAGGTTTTGAGTGTTTTCAAGGAGGAAACAAGAAGTGACTCGCGTGCCTAATTGCTTTGTTTCCTCTACCCCTTCATCCTCTATGCGAGCTTTCTTATGTTCACTTTTCATTTTCTCATGATGGTTTAGTGACCCATTTGGATTGTGGAGGGTATAGCGACCTCCATAAGGGTTCCACGATCCCACGCCATCCGTCTGAAAACAGTCGAGCTGAGCTCCGCCCGAATGCCCCTCCTTCTTTCCCATAAAAAGTTTTCATTACATTTTATTAGAGTCGCCATCAAAAAGGGTATTCATTAGGAGTTTGTGGCCGTAACCTTTATGGTATTGGATCGTAAACCTTCTCTTCTTTAGTATCGTTTCATCTTCGGGAAATGACCAACTTCTTATCTTTTAATCAAGCTCCAACTTTTATTGTGAGACGTCTGCATCTGTGCAGAACACTTTGGCTCAGTCTGGGCTCAGTCTGGACCCAAAATGCTTT